CCCCACCCACACCCACACCCACCCTCAGGAATATCAGAAAAACTGATTTCCGAATTGAGACTTGAAACTTTCGGATATTTTTATTGCTTCTATTTCGAGATACAGTTATGATAAAAGCACATCTTTTAGATTGCTAATATACGTCTGTAGATCGGTTGTGCATATTTCAGGACAGAAAACGATTAAATCGCTTGAGATTTTCACGATTAACTGTTCTTGTTAAGGCTTGTCTTAGTAATAAGTTTCAAACTGAAATGCGATGATTAATTGTCCTGGTGTTTTTGAGTTCGACTAAGTCATTTTAGTGAAAAATACTGCGATAAATGCAGTATGTCTACAGCGATAAACTATGGATCTGAACTCTATTCGCAATATTCATATTCCATTAGAGTCTACAAGACACAAATAGCCCCAACTTAAAAAAACGATTAATCAACTGAAAAAATTTCCTCGTTAGAATTCGAATATTCGCCACAATTCAAGAGGGAACCATCAAGAGTAAGGTAACAAAGTACAGGTTAGCTCATCTCATTAGCTTCCACACTCTCATGTATTGTAGTACTGATGCACATAATTGAAGAGCACATGACAGTACATAGTATCTTTTGAAAAATTTAATACTATTTTGTGTTTGACGGTGCAAACATTCTAATCAATTCGTTTTCAACAAGAACTGTTAAAGTAATTAATAGTTTTTTTATTTCATATAATTATTTTTTTTTAAATAACACTAAAATTGTAGTTTTCATATATCCTTATCTTAATAATGATGTAATATAAGAATAATTTTTATATAGACAAAGCTCAACTCACTCTTACCTCTCACCTCTACTCATTTCACAACGTTCGGGATTTAAAATATAATTAAAAAACCCAATTACATACCTTCTGTTGTTCTTCATTATTGTTTGTTACGGTTGATGAAGATGGTGAAAAACTTGAAACATTTCTGTGTCCACGAAAAATACTAGCTTTATCATTAGCAGCCATGGTTCAACTTTTTCTTTAAAATGAAACTAAAAGAAAATCTAAAACGGAAGAAAATTTTAATTTATGCAGCTTTTTATACTTAAAACTGTTATTTCACATATCTTCTCATACATTGAATAATAAACATCTTTCCGTTATACAATCTGTCCACAGGTAACGCACTCATCCATTTTTGACCTTCAAATTGTTATAACTCGATAACTTAAGGTGACAAAGAGCTGAACCTTTCACTGCAGCAAGATATATGAAAGTTCTAGTTTCACTAAAATTTTCATTTCATTTGGTCGAACTGCGACGATTTTAGAAGGATCGAAAGTCGTGGTAACGCACTCATTCAAAAGGACCCCTTCCATCAAAGCCACTCAAAAAAGTTCACATTCCTAAAAGTTTTCTCGCTCTGAATAGAATGTATTTATCTATGTTTGAGGCTAAGACAACAAACCTGATGATGGTAAAATGTGGTTTTTGAAAGCTTGTTCCTACAAAGAGTTATCACCAAAACACTACGGTAACGCACTCATCAACTTTTTTCGACCTGCTTAAAAAAACACAGTTTTTTATAGCTTTGACAACAATAGAAGGTGATTCACTGATGTCAAACTGTAGCGTAATCTTCGATAATAACACTATTATTTTCATTTTTTAAATGATACGGAGTGTTCAAAATACGATAACAGACAATAAGCCTCTTTTTTCATCAGTTTTGCACAAAAAATGCTTGATTTTGGCTGGTGACCACCATCTCTTCTCGTCATTATCCAAAACAAATGGCATCTATCAATAGGGAATATACGAAAAGCTATAAAAAATTTTTGAATGAATAAGTTCGGCTGTCTTATGTTCGAGAAATATTCTGCTCAACTTTGATCACGTTAGGCCGCCGTTAGCTGGACAAGCTGTATAATACATTTTATTGGTTGATTCAAAAATCAATCATATGTAAACAAGAAACTATTAATAGTGGCCGTTGTCACTGCAATTATAACATTTATGTATGTTACGCTGGCAGCGCGTGTTTTGTGCGATGTTGAATTTGAACTTTCTATCATGTCAGATATTACTTTCATATGATTATTCCTCATTCTTCTCGAAGAATAGGGTGTGGGTGTGGTTGTGGGGTTTGATATGGTACGGTGCGGATGTGCGGTATGAGTGTGTTTGGTGCAGATATGTGGATGTAGGTGAATTATTCCTTGATTCATATCCCACATCCACATCCACACCCCATATCCACTATCATTCACACCCACACTTACACCCAATAGAAAGTACATCGAGCTTGTTATCCTATTTTCAATCGGATGTGGGTGTGTGTGTGGGGTGTCGGTGTGGGTGGGGGTGGGGGTGGGTGTGGGTGTGGGTGTGGGTGGGGTATGAGTGGGGTGGGTGTGGGTGGGGTATGAGTGGGGTGGGTGTGAGTGGGGTATGGGTGGAGTGGGTGTGGTGGGTGTGGGTGTGGATGTTAATCTTTATTCTAAAGACACCAACACCCACACCCACCCTCCCCCACACCCACACCCACCCACACCCACCCACACCCACCCACACCCACACCCACACCCAACACTCACACCCACACCCCACACCCACACACCCACACCCATCCACACCCACACCCACCCACACTCACACCCGCACCCAGAAAGTCTGAGTTGGTCTTCGGCTGATCTATCACTGCATTTTTGTCTCAGCTTATAATCTATACACTGTGACTAATGAACTCTCATTAGGGACTTACGTTAAACACTACATGCAAAAACGATTAAAATGTAGGCACACAACGGATCTCGAGGGTTCAATCTCCTATAATGCTATTTTTCTTTGAAATGATTTTCATTCACTTAGAATGGATATCATTTGCGAGAATAAAGTAGGCACATATAAAGAAAAAAACGCCCAGAATCCTTCTTCCTTCCTTTTTTTTGCTTCTCTATTTTCTTTTTTTCGGTTCTCTTTTTTACCTTTTTTGTTACTTCTCTCTTTTATTTTATTTTCTGTCCTTGCAACAGATGCGAACGTCGTTGTTGGTTTCTTTTTTTCTCTTTTGCTTACGTGCTTCTTCTCAAATTGTGAAATTCTTTATGAGTTCTTTTGCTTTTCTTCTTTTTATCTTTGTATTTACTTTTCTGCAGCCACACGAACAGATTCAATACTGTATATAATAATACAGGGTGTCCCAAAAGTAACAAGACAAGGAAAAAAAGTTTGAATATCTCCATTAGGGCTCGACCAAATGGGCTTAATTTTTTATCAAGGATAGAGGCATCTGCACACTCCAAATCCATACGAACAAGGTGAATGAGAACCTTTGTTAAGTATCACTATTGACCTCAACAATAAAATTTTTACTTTGTCACTGGTAAGAAAAAACCAATATACAGGATAGTGCAAAAGTCACTTTATCGAAAAGAAAATTAAATATTTCCATTACGGCTCGAGCAACCCAGCTGATTTTTTTAACAAAAATAGAGGCATGCTTATACTTCAAATCCATACAGACAAGCTTAGTGAGGACCTTTGTTAAGTATATTTTTTTATTTTCCTGTCTGTGAAAAAGTAAAAATTTTATTGTTGAGGTCAATAGTGATACTTAACAAAGGTTCTCATTCACCTTGTTCGTATGGATTTGGAGTGTGCAGATGCCTCTATCCTTGATAAAAAATTAAGCCCATTTGGTCGAGCCCTAATGGAGATATTCAAACTTTTTTTCCTTGTCTTGTTACTTTTGGGACACCCTGTATTGATGGCGACTGTAAAATTCATTGAATTTATGTTGTGCCTAATGCTTTAATATCATAATTTCTCCTGATATTATCGCGTAAGCACTTCCGAGTGTTACATTTACGCGCATCATTAAAAAAAGAAAAAAACGTCTGGGCAGAAACTTGAACAGATTCTGAAAAGGACACTATTTAACCGCGAGATTCGAGATAGGATCCTGACTAAAACTTGACGAGATTCCTCCAAGATTTCTCAAGGAACGAACAGGGTTGAGACTAGCAATAACTAAAGTGAAATTAATACATTAATTTATTGATGTAGAATGTGGGTGGAGTCTTCATCCTAATTAAACTAATACAATATACGTAGAGTGAAAAATCTATCGTAGACTATCATTGTTTTCCAAGACAATCGATCATAGCAGCAAGGATTTCTTTTATTTATTTCTGCATTTTGAACAGAATTTTCTCTTTCCTTTTAAGAGGAGCTACTAAGGCCTGTAATGCGGAGAAAGAGGTCGAACCTCCAAGACTTCGACTCACTATTTTCTGGGAAAAAATATCTAAGTTCCACATAATAGAATTATTATCGATCCTAAGGAAGAACATGCATAGACACATGGATTCAGGAAGAAATATCAGGAATTATCTATACTAAGTAACTAATAAATGCGATGTTTTGATCTCTATTCTTCAAATCTGGAAAAATTTTCTACATGCTTCTTTGTCTCTTAACTTCGATGACTGACAGATGGTCGAATTCGTCCGAGACCTCTGCAATCAACATTTTTCTCTTCTTTTATCGAAGCCACTTCGACACGAAACAGTACTAAACGCTACCAGAGAAACGTACATACCACAGATACGAGTTCGAAATGAGAAATATTCAGCAAAACATGAACAGAAACATTTTTATGGCCAAGGAAAGCATGAAGGAAGGATAAGAAAAATGTAATACATCATTGTAACATATGAAACTATTGTATTGATCGCAAAAACTTTTTTCTTGCATTCTACGTTCAAAATGTAACGGCACGTCTGCATCTATCGAAGCATCTAGAATGTGCTGCGTAAAAAAACAACACGAAGCGCTGTTGGTGGAAGGAATTCATCCTATATCTGCTCCGCAAATCATAAAAGGAGGAAACCAGCATTCTACTGACGGTTCTCACCCATCCTTTGTCGATGTTTTTCTTTTTCCTCGTGTTCATTTCTGTTTTTCCTCTTTCATTGTCTTCCTTTTCTTTCTTTTTACAATTCTCTGTTAATTCTTCGAAAGTATAGATGAGGCCTAGTTTTAATGATTTATTAGTGAATAAATCTGCAGTACATATAACAACGTAAGAAAAAGGGAACAAGAAAAACAAAGTATACAGCTCTTCACTTTATATCTTATATTTTACATACTTTTGACAAACAAATTCCATATTTAATTTTTGTTTTATTATTTCTTTTTAAAGCTGTGACATGATTTGTATGAGGGTGTGGGTGTGTGGGTGTGGATGTGGGGTGTGTGGGGTGTGGGGTTGGATTGTGGGTGTGAGTGTGGGTGTGGGTGTGGGTGTAGATTCTTACTTCACCCACACCCACACCCTTTTGATGCAGCTTGTTTTCTTGTCGTCATTGTAAAGCTTCCGATTCGCCTTGTTCTTTAGTTACAATGCCATTTGAACTCGTATATTGAGTTCATAGATAGATCTAATGATCCTTGGAATATTTTGAAAGTTTTATCTGAAAAAAACGTTTCTTTGTCGAAACATTGAGTTTTATGACATGTCTGTAACAGACGGCTATTTATTTGAAATTCAATATCTTGACAAATGAACACTTTTTACGATTGAAATTTTCAAGATATTCCCGAGTTATTAGATCTATCTATAAGCTGAGAATTTCAGATCGATAATTCTAATATTTGATTTTCCAGTAAGTACCTGAAAACGGGTAGAAAATTCAGTAAAATAGTCATGATTCGGATCCGTCTCATTATAGTCATTTTGTAATTCATTGTGAAAGCACTGAAATATTAGAAAATATTTAAAAAATTACTTTTGAGATTAGTTCTTGTTCTTTCTTATTTTATTCAAGCATTTCTTCTAATGAAAGCGATACACCTTTTGTTGTACCTCATCGTTGTTTCATTAACTATTCATTCTCCTTCTTCAACATCATTCTTATTTTTTGTTACTTTATTAATTCCATTTGTTTTTCGACATTTTGAATTGAAACTAAAAAATATAGAATTAATCAAATCACATATTTAGATGATTTCCATTATTTAGA